GGGGGGTGACAACAAGTTAACATTGCAAAAAGTAACGGCTGTTGTCATGGCAACTCTTCTTGGAAAGTAGTGTAAAGCACTATGATTCTTATTCTAATCTCACCTGACCGTCGTCATAATTTCCGACTCCAATAGCAAAGACTGTTGCTCCCAGGGATCTAGACTTGTCTGCCTAGAAAGTAAAGGTACGAAAATAGAGGTGAAATAGACAGTGTACATACTTCTATGTAATGTGCTCATCTTCATTATCGCAAGAAGGTGATTTCCATAGGAAGTGATCAGGACAACTGCTCAGCAGTCAAGGGACACCAGTCTGTTTTCCGATAGTACATGAATGTAGACATGCTAAAATTTCATGTTATGCAAACCATGACATTACGCCAAAACAGCAGTTACTCAAGCAACAAGTAATGATTTTGGAAACGGTCAGACAAAATCATATTCAATTACTATACTTGAGTAACTGCTTTTTTTAGTCATTTTTTATTTACCTGGATGCCCAACCTTCGTCGTCTTAACCATTACTTGTTTATTATTATTATTTTCCTATATAATCTGATCTTACATATATCAGCGCAGCTCAATCTTACCTCATTAAATGATTGAGGCTCATCAGTAAGCTTTCCATCCGTTAGCGCAAATATGATGCTGGCAGTGTCTCCACCTATTGCATGATAAGGTTAATCCAGAAAAGAAAGTTAATGCCTTTGACTATTCGAGGTAATTCTACAAAGCTACAGGCAACACATGATTAACGTGATCAAAGCCGTCATCAACACCTTTGCGCAGGTGTTAACATGGAAAATTCTAATGCCCCATACGGAGCTATCAAAACAATGACATAATGTTATACAGGAAAGACTGTCGCTTTTTAATTGGGGTCAAATTGGGGAAGTTCAATTTCAGACTGGGATGCAAAAGTTCACGTTAGGCAAAATGTAGTTTGGGATATTCCATTTTTGCACAGGGGTGATTTTGGGTGAAGCATATTCTACTTGCGCGAAAAGAAATGTCAGCCTTTCCAGTCTACCATTTTCTTTATCTTTTATTTCGAACTGCCATTTATTGTTAATAAACCATCAGTTCTTGTTGAACCTTTCTTCTATTGAAGCGTTTCTTAAAAATAATGTAGGAAAATTGACTGGTTGCAAAACTTACCAAGAGCTTGGATTTGAGCGTTTGCCTAGAAACAGAAAGAACACAACAAAGATGAGATTCCAAACCTATACTGTATAGGTTTATGTATCGCATTATGTTCACAACGACTTCTGACAATGACAGACATCACATTTAACAGCAATGTTACCAGTTGACGTATAAGAGGGGTGACTTCTTATGATGATTGTCATTATTAAGTAATGTTGTCAATTCTTTTTAACTGTTTGTCTAACAAAATTCATAATTTAAAAATATTTAAGGAGATGGCAGTCCCTACCCTGGCATATACATAAAGCTAAATGTATAAAAGAAAGTTACCTTCCGTAGACCGTGACTCATGAAGGTCCCTCCGTACGTGTCTATCCGACGAAGGTGGGACAGGCCATGTCTGATGACATCCCTGCGGATAGCATTGGTACTACAGCTTATCAGCTTACACGGAATAGCATTTTGTTAGACAATCCACACTTACAAATAGAACTTCTACCTCGCCAAGTGCATGAATCATATACTGAAGAAAAATTTCACTAAACATTATGTTGTTTTAGATTAAGAATCACGGGTATGAAGCGACTGCATCTTTGATACCTGTGGTTACTGAAAAGCAATAAAACCATTTCGTACTTTGAAATTTTGTACCCCCCCCCGTCATGCTAGTTTCTGTGTGCCTGTTACGCCATGTTGATTTGGTTATATAGAAGACATCCTCTTTGAACCACATAACTGATGCGAGCGTGCGAATAAAAAGTTTGGCAAAATTGCCTCTGGAATTGATTTTGGCATTCTACGACATTAGTATCGTTTTCCAACATTTTCTTTTAAATTCACAGCATACATTTGCTCATTTTGCAACTCCGTTGTACGTTTTACAGTATGGTCGAAATTTTTTTGTGGAAACAGGCGAAATACAATTCATGCGCGTACGGCTGTCATCCATGTAATCAAATCAACATAATTTTGCCTAACCGCTGACTAAGCATGTAAAGCTTAAGACTGGAGTGTGAGTGTCCTACAAATCCTCCTCAGGTTGTCACAGGAAAGGAAACAAACATACGGGTCGTTGGACAGCTCCATAACAACAGAGGCGTCGTCTGAGAAGGTGATGAAGGAAAACCGAACTTTTGGGCTGAAAAACAAAAACGATAAAGACAAATAAGAAAATTGATAAGGCTTACCTATACATTTTCTAGAAGCTGATTAAACTACACAGACAGCACGTGCTGATGTGTTAAGCCCACCACAGGGACATACCGACGGCAGATATAAACAATACACTGATTCGTTAATATCACTCATACGTACTTAAGTAAATGTAAAATAACTGTATATATATATTGCACAAAGGTCTAAATACTGCTCACCAGTTGAGAGATTCCTCTTATGTATTTCGTTTGTTGTTTGCATTTCTCTGGTGTCTTGGTGCTAAACTTCGTTTAGTTAGATTGGAAAAGAATACATATTCACCCATTTTTCTGCGGAAATATACTTCCCCTAGCATGTCACTAATTTCAACAGAACACGCAAGTGCTTGCAACATGAGAACAATGTAAGGAAGTAACATGTGGTCTAAAAGTGCTCTCGACTGTAAAAAACTCATGTCACGCGACACCATTAATATTACTCAACACAATGGGCAACCTCCTACCATGATGTGTTGTTCTGTCAGTTGCATGCTTTACATAACTGAGACAGGCTCCCATCCCGTGCTATCTTCCATGATACATGGATGTAAAAACTATCTAATATTCCAGACTGACTAGGTCACGGATAAAATGAAAGTGTATATTTTTGTCGCAATTTGAAGAAAGATCCATTTAGTAAATCTCTGCAATCTCTGCAACGTTTTTCTTGATTGTTGAGTCTTGGTTTGCCCGCGCGGTTCTGCGCAGCTGCCAGGAAGTACAGGCTAAAACCGGAAGTACTGGAGGAAGCACATCGGCACGACAGATATTCTGTCCAGACCCTGTCTGACCTTATAAGTATATCAACACAAGTGGTTTTAGCTGCATTATCTTCGTTCTGCTGTGTCATAACCATACCAATTAATCTCCAAGCAGATCTTTCGGTGGCTGCAAAGACATTATCAAATTGGCCAGGCTGTATCCATTTGCCAGACTCGGGTGGCCAATGGCAAGCAGAAACTGCCTGGCCAAATACTTGGATACTGCCTTTAAGTTAAGCTACCGAAAGATCTGATCGGAGATTACTGAATGAATGATGACCTTTATAAATTACTGTACATTTTTGCCACACTCGGCTACGTACAGCTCACAAGAAAACATGATGAACAGATACAGTTAACAGTTGAAATCAATCTAATTATCGTTACATAAATTCTCCTTGCTTTCCAGTTATTGTAGAAATAATCTATGGAATGTTTGCCTAGTTGCATTAGGAATAATATCAACATAACCAGAGAAGGCAATGAGGCAATGAAATGTGTTACTAATGAGTGAAGGGGTTCAAAGACTAGACATCTGTGTTCATTAAATGGATTTTGGCATCAAATACTGTACGTTTAGAAATGGATGTTCATTAATTTGTGATTTTCTATTATTAGTATCATAGCTTCTGACCATACTAGATACTCATTTTCCGTTTTTAACTGAAGAACAGTATAACGTGGAGCAAGGAAACAGAGTCTTTCAGAGACGAACATGGAAACAAGTAGTCATCAGACAGATCATGAGTATTGTATACATTATGTTAAAGAGGAAATCGTCTTAAAGTTTAGAACCGGTATGACCTCACCTGTGAAAACTGTTGACGATCTTCTCCACGAAGTCAACCGTCTCTTCCCGGAAGTTCTTTGGTGTCACACTAGCAGACCTGGACAGAAAGACAAATATATTTACAGATAATTTTCTGTAAATATTTGATGAACCGATCAGGGTGATCAGTTAGTAGGTTTATTGATAGACTAAACAGACATTACCTGAACTAAATTTTGATATTACCAAGCATTAGTCATAAATACGGTCAACAGTCTTCATTATTTGTCAGACATTAATAAGGTTTGATCCAAATCTATTTGCAGTTTATATTTATTCTTTCTACACAATGCAGTAATTTCATGCCTTAAGTTAGTTACCTCCATGAAAACTGGAAGTATTGTGTCAGCTGTGTTTGTGTGCCTGTCCTTGGTGCTGCAGTTTGACAACATTTCCAACCAGGCCATTTTGGTGGACTGTCAGACAAGTGTCCGGCGTACCGGAAGTAGACATGCTTGTGTTTAATAGTTGGCTCCAGCAACATGGCGCCGTGCGTTTATATCCTGTTGGCAATGACCATTTAAAGCTGCATGATGTCTCCGCGGAGGCAATGGCAACAATCCGTGACTGTAACTTCCAACTTTCAGTCACCTGACCTTGCACTCTACAAATTGTTCCCGAAACACGAAAAAGACTTATGACTTTGTTTGAAAACACATTTTTCAAACTTACCTTAAAGTCAGTTATATGTATCTACATCCTAATTTGAAACAACACTGTCCCAAATGTATATCGACATTCATGGAGCAAAAATACCGAAAATTGTGACGGAAAACGGTTACTGGTAGGATCCAGAAAATAAAGGACTCATCATGTGAGGCAGTATGTGTCAATATCATACAGATTGCCTTGTACAGAATGTTTTAAGTTTTGCCGCCTTGAAATTGCATTGGCTGGTGGAAGAGGTCACGGTGTGGACTCTTAGGGAGAGTTTTGAAAAACGAAACAGTTCCAATTAATAGTACATGGTACGATTATTTAGGTTGCAAATTTTTCAATTGCCCCTAGCACATGTAGACAAGCTAATCAAGAGGCCGGGAGACAGTTTTGCCTAGTTGTAAGCCAAATGGCGGGGAGCTCGAGAGGATACCGAGTCTAAACATCCGGTAGTATTTCACCATGTAGTTTTCTCAAGCTGTGTCAGCCACAGTCTATATGGTAATATTCTTTAAAACAGTGTAACATTAATATGTGGCGTCAGCGTTCAGCTCCAAGCAAGTAGAAGGCTAAGCTACCAAGTTTCTTTCATGTTTTTAAAGGAGTGCAGGTACAGATATGTGTAATGCTACTCCATTTTAATTCGAAGTCATTGCACACTATTCATGAACCAAAGTTTATCATCTCTTTGCCTTTATCATATGGTACAGGAAAGGATTAAACACACAAAAGATCTGGGTAACTTACCTGTCCAAAACGAAATACATATCAAAGGCGCCTCTGCAAGACTGAGACTTTGGTTTGATGTTTACGGCTCGGGTGCTCTTCGTCTCAAATCCGACGAGAACCAAGATTCCGAACTGAAGAAAAGTTTTCACTCCAAGGTTCGCCATTCCCGAATCCAAGACTGCTTCCTTTCCAAAGGACAGGCCTCTCATGACAACTTACTTCAGCGTGAAAACTTTGCTATGTTTTCTCTGCAAAGCTCAACACACAACAATTGACTATAAAGAACGGGGGGACCGTTCAGTGTGCATTTAGCCAAGATAAAATGGAACCGGAACAAGAAGATGCGCATGCGCCCGTTAGTAAGTTATTTAGTATTACTAAGGAAATAGGGGCTGCTTTGAATTACTTAACATAGAGTATGAAGATTGTACCCATGCATCCACAAACAACGCAATAGAGGTAACATCGTAAGCAAGAGAGAAAGCAAAACGAAAAAAAAATTCATGGACATGACCATTCCTACTCTATGTAAGAATGCATCATCCCCAGAATTAAGAGGCCATTACTTCATCATCACGTGACAATCTTTGCCTCAGATATCCTGTTACCAAAATGTGACTCCTAGTGCTAGCCATAACATCATGACACGTCCCGTACCAAGACCCATGTAGTCCAGGGGTGACGGAATTTCCTCTCCCCTTCGCGTCCTTGACTTTGCAAGTCATTGTTACTTTCGCCATGAAGGTTGTTATTGGTTACGTTCGTGTGTGAATGTGTCAACACGATACCTCGAGAAGGCTATGGTGGGTTGTGTTGATATTAAGTAGGTGGGTACCGAAGGCCTTGAGGTTGAACCCCCTAGCGGCTTCTTATAGTACTACATCAAGACTACCGGTTGTCATATACCAGCTGATCTGGACATGCTATTGCCACGCATTTTGGGTGGTAGGTAGCTCTTGTGTTCGGAAGTGACGTGATGCATGAGTTTGGGGCCCCTAGCAGCTTGTTCTGGAACTGCAGGAGCGTTTTTGAAAATAACTATTTGTCGGAGGATAATTCAAGAACCGGTTGATGGATCGTTATGACCGAAAAGCAAACCTCATATCTCCAGCAAAGACCGAGTTATCACAACACCCTGACCCCAGACGTGAGTTCACAAAGATTCAGGCAAACAGACCCTGAATTAACACATGACCCATCCGCACGATATCATCGCGAGAGACCGCACGGACTACAGGAGGCGGCTGGAGCCGGCTTTGTGGCTGCAGATCTCCGTCCGGCAGATCGGAAGTAGGGCCTCTTCGTTACAGGGGAAGTTAGCAGGGCCGAGGAACCGGCCAGGAGCAGGATATCAGTGGCACGCAGAGCTGCTGGGGACGGAAGGGATTACGAGGCACATCGGGGTGCTGGAGGGTGCGTTACGGGGAAGGGGCGTGCGGACCTGTCCTTGTTGTGTTACTGGTGGCCTCCAAGATCTTATTTCTTTAATCACTATGATAGATTTAAACTTTGATCGGAGACAAAATGGAACTCAAATGAGGTTTATCTTATTTCTTTAATCATTATGGTAGATTCAAACTTTGATCGAAGACAAAATGGAACTCAACTGAGGTTTACTTTTGGACTGCATGTTTATAAAAAGGAACTCACCAGAAATTTTCGGTCGAACCCGTCAGCCCCAAAAAACTTATCTATGGGTTCCCTTTTGTGTTGGATCAAATTAAAGTTTAACTTTACCATTAGTATTAATTACTGAACACAGAAGAGCTTTCATTCGAAGATCCTATTTCTGTTTTCTTCAGAACGTTCATCAAAGCTGGCACACAGATATCTAACATAATTTTCTCCAGGTGCTAATACTAAGCTGTAATAAATGAAAAAGAAACATAAAAATCTATGTCTCTACTGAGCTTTCAATGGTGACTTTAGAATACAATGGTACAGAGTAAAATAGCTCCGTGCAAAGTTACATTTCTTATTGCTCTCAAGAATTCTCATTGACAGTAATTATATATGATGCATACAATCCATATATATATATCCTTACATACATACATACAGTGATAAATTCAGATACTGGCTTGTATTTGGCTACATAGAGTACAATTATCATGGTTCTACATGTATACAGATGGTTCTAGAGGCATATATCTAAAAACAGTTATTAGATCCAAGTATTATAATTCATGTAATTATTGCATATTAACAAGTTTGCACCCTCTTAAATGACCACTGACAGTCCATGAATAAAAACATCACATCACATATGAAAGGTGCACTCACTGCATTCCACTGTGTGATCCATGTCAATGTCAACACCACCAGGGTTTGAAATATATACTTTTTTTCTCAGGTTGCCCAGTGTGGGTAACCAAACCCAAAAACGAGGTTGCCCTTCAATATTTCAGGTTGCCGTCAACACCGGTTGTTATGTTTTGAGGGCAAACTTTAAGCCAGGCACACTTATATTGCTCACGTGCTGTCTGTGATGGGCTTTAAAACGATCACTTTGTATGAAAACCTGCACACCAGGAAAACCTGCACACCAGGAACCTGGTGTCTCCAACAAGATTCACACAGAAAACATGGCAATGTGCAGCGATAGTGGGTATTTTGAACCCTGTACCACCCTAAGGCTTGTGTAATTGATCACAAAATCTAATTCTGGATACATATCGCTGTTCCTGAAGTGTTCTAAGGCACCAGGATCTGCACGGATGTTCTCATTCACGTCATCAGATCATCACATTTGTATAGAACAAAATCACACATATGGTACTTTTACAAGTGCAAGAACTATAATTATCACATAAAGAAAACAGACAAAATACTATATTCTACAGTAACTGTTGATGTAATATACATTCTGTCATAGTTTCTAAAGCAAGACTAGGTTCTACAGTAAATGTACGGTTGATGCAGTCTACATTCATAGTAACAGTTTCTCAAACAAGACTTCTATCTACTTGTCTATACAAAACTTGGTTCCACAGTCATGGAACAAAAAAAAACAACTTTCTATCAATAACTAAGACTAGTAAGAGAAATAAAGAACAATTCTTCTTTTTGCTTTGGTGTCAGAGCCTTAAGTAACATCTGCTAACATCCCAAAATACTTTCAGGTTCTTAACATATAATGTAGAGAATAGACAGTTACCATGTATAGGCTGGAACTGCTACAGATTTCTTTTTAAAACATTCTTACAACTACATACATGCTACATACTGGGAGATTGTACAGACTTTTTACTGCAGAAAATTCCACTCAGCCCTGTATACACATTTAGTAAGAAATTATTCCATTGATTTCAATAATATTTCTAATACTACATGTATTTAAAAACAGCACTTGAAGATATCTCTATCATTTAACATTTAGATTAAAGTAAGTATAATTCAGGGCTATATGCTGGGACCCTCTTCCATATATGATAAAAAAGTCATATCAACCTTATACACCAGAAAATAGAGCCTTATATTCTTCTGAATAAGACATGGTGTTCACAAAGTCTTTGTTTCTTATTCCTCAGTGTAATTTTCTAAATATTCTTTTCTAAAAATTGTTTCCACAAAAATCTTGGGGGCAGAAACAGACAAATACTGGCAAAGCCTCATTGTGGGTGAAATATTGTTGGCCAACCTGTATGGCCGTTGCATTTACCCCTATCGGAAAATGGCAATTTTTTTTAATGTTTATGTTACGGATAAAGCTTTTGACAAACATGGGCAGCAGTTTATTCTGTAATGCTGAAATTAATTGTTGACTTTTATGAATCTCGTCAAAGTCACTGCCAGAGTACTGCAACTCCTGGGAAATCTGAACTGGCCTGCTGGAAGACTTGTTTTGCATCTTTACTCCACAGTAACAGACTTGGCCAGGTTCCGGGGACAGTCAACCTACAGGAGGAGAAAGATATTGCAACATCACATTGTCAGAGCAAGGCTTAGAATTCAAATCTTGTCCAAGTGACCACCTCTATAAGTCTTCCATCTTGCCATAACAACCACTTTTCTGGTCCTAATTGTTTCTCCCAGAGACGTATTAATTTAATGATAAACATGGCCTTACGCTTAAATAAACTCCTGGCTAGAAGCCTGAGGGGCACAAGTGCGCTGTACTTACATCACAGCCCTTCAGCACAGCGATGTGGAAGGACAGCAGCTGGAGCGGGATGACAGTCAGGATCCCAGACAGACAGTCCACGATGCCAGGCAGCTCCATCACACGGTGGGCTTCCTTCTGGGACATGGTGTCCCCCTGCTCACACAGCAGGATGGGCCGGCCCTGCAAAACAACAATTGGTTTATATACATGTACGGTGGGATAAAGACAACAAATAAAGAGCCCATCACCCTTAACTGAATTGCAATGTGGGCTGACATCGTTTACCAGATACCTTTGACCCAGTGTTGACCTCACACTTCAAAGAAGCCATGTGGTATGTTTCGGCAAAGGGCACTTTGTATAGCGGCTATACAGATACAGAAACAGAGACAAGTCTCACTGCATCAATCTATTAAAGAAGACCAGAATGACTGGTTGAAAGCTCTGATTGAAAGCTCTTTGTGTTGAAACAAAAGTTTTACTTTTGAACAACAAACTTTTACTCTTCAAACTTTTGTTTAATCATGGGGAAGGCTTCAGATATATAGATAATCCTAATCATGATAAAATTCAAACATTTCTTACCATTCTGGCAACAACCTGTTGCAGGGCATTCTGGCATTTCTGAAAAGGAAATAATTTGCTGTCAACAAAGTTTATCAGTCTGCAAAACTACTATGACAACAAAAGGTAAGGTCACCGCAGGTGAATGTATTGTTCATATCTACTGTACAATATCTCCATTATTCTGCTGTTCTTTTACAACACCAGGTCCAGCACTATTATATGTATACCAAAAAGATTAAAAATACTGAATACTGGTGACATTAATTCTGTACATTACAACTGCAACTTCTTGTCTCTAATTTGTTGTTTTTCCCAAGAGCATTACATCTGCTAAATGAGCCATTTGCTCAAATGCATCCATATTTTTGATGCGTCTATAAAGAAAATAAAAAAGGTGACTGACTGTGTAAGTTCCATCTTTCATGATGATCATGATGATAGGCATGGCCTTGTCCACCAGTGCCAGGGGTCCATGTTTCAGCTCACCTGCCAGGATACCCTCCGAGTGCATGTACGTCAACTCCTTCACTTTCTGTAAGTTTAAAACATTAGCTGGTATTACACAGATTTAATATAATGAATCAAAAAGTAAGTCTCCTTTCAATTTTCAAGTATTACGTGAACTACTAGTTGTCAAACTCTGTGCTAATCAATGCTTGTATATAAAACATTTGAAAAGCTGTAATGAATTGAGGCTAATTTCCACTTCTTATAAACAGACTATGTCATACAATGTTCCTCCAAATGACAAATATGAATGATAGAGAATGATGCTAATGCAGGGTTGGAAATACTTTTTTCCCTTGCCCATCAATATTTTAGGTTGTGGTCGACACTGGCTGTTTATTTTAGAAGGCAAGCTCTAAGCCAGGTCGCCTGTAAAGTATCAAAAGTATCACGTGTCACATCCTGGCTAAGGAGGGAAACAGTGTCTCAAGGAAGTCATAAGCTGGGCAGCTGTACATAATCTTTCAAAAGGTTGCTTTGTAGGAAGAAATGATAACTTGCATAAGGGTAACCTGGCGTGACCCTCCATTACGTCTTGCACACAAAGCATGACTTGCATGGTGGCAGTGTGAGAGTGGGTATTTCAAACCCAGTCATGCATTACTCATTTTGGGACAGGCCATGTACAGTCTAGATGGGATTACTAATATTCAGTCAGGAATTGTGAAGCCATGATTGAAACTGTGTGTGGTCTTTTGTGGTATGTCATGTCATTGCGGATCATGTCTTATGTAATATTGTACAGTATGTTATTTTGTACAATGTATGCCTAGCACTGCCTGAAAAATAGGTTTTTATTCAATCTGAGTGTAGTTACTGGTGAAAGAAATAAACTGAAACTGAGACTAACCAGAGCTCCCTCCAAGCATGTAGCAAAGTTGTAGCCACGCCCCATGATGAGGACTGACTTCTGCTGGTAAAGCTCCTGGGCCAGAGAGTGGACCTCCTCATCAAGCTTCAACACATCCTTGATCTTATCTGTTTGGCAGACAGAGAAAGTCTTAGGATGGTATAAATAATGTAAATGGATAATCTATGTCGCATTTCACAATGCAATAAACTACATGTAAAAGATTAAGTTGTTATAATTTATAGATTATGCCACCCTATTTCTATTCACTAGATACATTCAACAATTTTTCAGACACCTGTCCTATAATTAAAGATAATGATTGGGGCTACACCTCAAGCACACTAAAGAACCCACCATGCACACCTTTTGAAAAAAGAGTAGGGGCATATCCTAGTGTTTGGTGGTCCAAATACTACTAACTGAATGTTGGCAATTCACTATGGACTAAAGAATAAAGTGTACAATTTACACTAATGGAGACCCTAACAAAACAAACAAACCTGGCAGTTCCTTGAGACCCTTGATGATGTCAGCCCTCCTCTGTTGCATGGATATTCTGTCTTCACACATCATCAAACCAAACATCACCAGGGCAATGAACTGGCTTGTGTAGGCCTGGGACAGAGGGGGGAGATTGTCAATTCAAAATGTTGGGATTTTATTTCAACTGTACAAATCTTTGAGATAAGGAGAGGAGACATACACAACACTTTTAGTAGAATAAAAATGTTCAATTGAAACTTGCATATCGAATTGTATGGTAGGGTTAAATGGGCATATGTTGGTCAATTGTAACCTTGGTAAATCACAGTTAAAATCATGTCATGCATGGGGAGACACAGCTAAAATGGATTCATAAAACTAGCTCCAAAAATTGTGCACCGCTGGAAAAATGGAACATCACAGGACATTCAATGATAGCTGAATTGAGCTGTGAGTTACCTGGATCATCTTGTGATGTATGCTATTGTAGGTGCATTGTACATCATTTGTGACTGGGGCTTCATTAAGAAATGCCAGCAGATTTCCTACCTTGGTACTGGCCACACCGATCTCTGGCCCAGCGTTGATGTGTACCCCACAGTCTGTCTCCCTGGAGATGGAACTGCCCACCACATTAGTGATGCCCACAGTCAGCGCACCACGACCCTTACAGTACCTCAGGGCCATCAGTGTGTCTGCTGTCTCTCCTGCAAACATGTCACAGTAAAATCTCTCTCAATGATAATTCACAAACCAACAATTTGATAATTATGGGGCTTTGGTCACTCTACATTATGATCTAATGTGGTATAAGCTGGTGTTCCAATACTTTTTCAAACACATGTATGACTTTTTGAACTCCTGCTTTACACTGTAACTGGCTATGGCAGCAGGGAAATGCTTGACAACATGCATGGTTGCTATAAAGTTCCAAGATCAAGGGTTTTTATTACTCATTATCATATCAGATGACATTGACCAATCTGCAGCCCCCATTTCATATTGGTTATGATGCTAAAACCTTACCAGTGCCCATAAAAACATGGTGATTAAATCCCATAAACAACATTGACTGTTACATGTGGCTATAAAATACAATCTGAATTTGAAGTAAATGTCAAGTTGCCAGTACGATTCAGTTTTTTAATCTTAGGATGTGAGAAGTTACTGACCAGACTGACTGATGAAGAAGCAGACGTCGTCCCTGAAGATGGGAGTTTTCCTGTCCAGGAAGTCTGAGGCCAGCTCCACCATCACAGGCAGCTCTGTCAGCTCCTCCATCAGCTGCCGAGTCTGTGAACACAACAAACACCTCAAACATCCACAAAATATTTACAACTTTGAAATTTGTTACTAGAAGATTCTTTCAACAGTGACAAGTTGAAGGGTA